GATCTGAGTTAGTGATCCTACTTAATTTTATATCCCCAATGAACAGATCACTGTTACCATAACATTAGTGTAGCTAAAGTGAACTTCTCTGCTCCATGACTTTAGACTTGGCCATATTACTCACTTTGGACACTTAAAATGTGCTTGTGTGGCTGGACTTGTCCTATTATCTATCGTCGCATACTCTGTTCCCAGATGAAATCCTAAAGTGAGACATCCTGAAGTCAGGTCCTTCTGATGGCAAAGGACTAGCCTTGAGCTGCGAGGTTCTCTTTATCTGGAGAAGCAGAACTGCTTGGGAAGAACATGCTCATCTTGGTAATGCAGCCAGGCTAGAAAACAGAAAATAGTTAGACCTGGTTGACTGTTAAGCTGTGAGAAGTAAGAATGCAGGGCTATTTTGGGGATGCATTTAAACCTTTGGGGACCCCCTGCTTTAAAAAATGAGTTACACAACAGTGTGCATGTACGTAATGCCACCAAACTGCACACTTAATAGTTAACATATGCCTTCCTATGTACAAATAATGAACTAGAAGAAATTAACAAAGCCACCCCATTTACAATCTCACACACACAAAAATAATCACCTGGGAGTAAGCCTAACAAAGGAGGTGAAAGACTTTATAAGGAAAACTGTAAAACATTGTTAAAAGAAACAGAAAACATAAAGAAATGGAGAGTTATACCCAGCTCATGGGTTGGCAGGATCAACATTGTCAAAATGGCCATCCAACCCAAACCAAATTATAGATTCATTGCAACCCCAATAAAAATCCCAATGGCATTCTTCAAAGAAATAGAACAAAGATTGCTGAAGTTCATATGGAAACACAAAAGACCCCAAAGAGTCAAAGCTTCCTGATTTTTTAAAAAGGGGGGAAATGAAGGTATCACACTTCTGACTTCAAAGTGCACTAGAAAGCCACAGCATCTGCCCAGAGGAGACGTGGGTGCAACCAGAATCCAACAAGGCCACAGCGGTCCACCCATCTTCTGTATTTTTAGCATCAGCCACTTGCCCAAGATGGGGCTTCCCCTGACCCCAGCCCGCAGCGGCCAGACTCCACCTCCCCGCGGCTGGAGGGGCTCACTGGCCACTGAGACCACCCAGGGCGCCCGGCCACAGCGGGCAGCGCAGCGGGACGCCTGTCCGGGGTGCCATGCTGGGGCAGACTCCCCAGGCCTCTCCGCCGCGGCCTCCTCTGCCGGGGGCTGTGCACAAACTTGCCCAGTGGCGAGCCAGCCCGCTGAGGGGGCGTCCGGCGTGGGTGTCGCCTCCCGCTGCCGCGCAGCCTGGGTGCTGCCTGGAGGCGTCCTGGCCACCACCTGCCAGGCCCTGGAAAAATTGCTCTTGGTTGTTCGCAGGGAGAGGAGCTATTCGTTGCATTAGTGGGGGGGGTCTAACAACTTCCCTGGTCTCTCCCCGCTAGATGGCAGTGGCCCACGCACTCCCACTCCAGTTGTGACAACCACAGATGTCTGCAAACATTGTCAACCATCCCCTGGTCTAAATGAAGGGGGTGTCCCTCATGGGGGGGGGACCAAGTATATGCATGGGGGTCCTAAAGAACAATGCATGAGCCAAGCACACTGGCGTGCATGTGTGTGTGCACGCCTGCCTGGCAGGCCAGCAGCTCTCCAGGCTAGAAACACTGTTTAAAACTGCAGTGGCCAATCCCCATAGGGCTTCCATTAAAAACTGTCTAGAAATAGACACAGGTATCTCACTGAGAATTTGGAACATCAAAAACATTCGTTTTGAAACAGAAAAGTACAACTGGATAGATCAGTCAGTAAATGATGGGAGGGCGCTCAGCCTCCAGGCACTACCGGGGTGGGGTGGGGTGGGGGTGGAGGGTGGAAGTGGTGGTGGTAAGGCCAAGCTGGTCGTGCTTCCCAGTTTATGCCCTGCAACTGCAGTTTCACAAAGACAAGTGGCTTAAACACTTGACTTCTTTAATAGCAATGTAGTATTCAATTTATTCTGTCCATTAATAACTAATATTTGATGGCTCTGCCAAATGACCCAGTGATTCTACTCCTAGGACACAAAAACACTAATTTGAAAGGAAACCCTTCTCCTATGTTTCTGGCAGCACCATTAACAATAGCCACGATAAGGAAACACCCTAGATGCTCCAACAGATGAATGGATCAAACTGTGGTCTATACCCACAGTGGAATACTACTCAGCTGTCAAAACAGATAAACACATGCCATTTATAGCAGCATGGATGGAGCTGAAGGGATGATGCTCAGTGAGATAAGTCAGAAGGAAATACATAAATATCAGATGGTTTCGTTTATAGGTGGAATACAGGGAACTGAATAAAGGGTCAGGAAAAGACAAAACTTGCAGGCAAACCATAGGTCTGAGGCACGCAGCAGTGGAGGGGTTGGGAGTTAAAACAGGGGAGGGAAAATCACAGGGGACTGTGGTGATGGTTCATGGTGCTGTGTGTGTGTGGGGGGGTGTTATGGGGACTAAGCGTGAGGGGAGAACTCAAATAGTCTACAAAAATGAACAATGGTGTAAGAAAATAAAAATAATACAGTAGAGGGGCTCGATAGAATTAATAGCAAGTGATGCGAAGAATCTAAGAAATTGAATGTGAAATAGAGAAACAAAACAACACAGAGAAGAGAGAATTTTTAAACACTAGTATTCAGAGCGTTGACAACCTTCCTGGCGCTGGATCGCAGGGAAGCGCAACTCCCATTGTTTCCGTCCTCAGCACAGCTCCGTGAACGACAGTGACAACAGCTGCGCCCAAGTGACACTGTCCAGAAGTCGTGGCTGCCGCGGGCGCTGAGCCTGGCGGGCCGACGCTGCGGCGCCTGCGGAGGGCGGGGAGCGCCCCGGGGCGCGCGTTCATTCAACACTAAGGTCAAAAACACGTTCGCGCCTCACCAGGAGCCGTCGCGACACGGAAGGCGACCGCAGGGGCAGGACAGGGAGCAGGTTTCTGTGTCGGGCCGGCGGGGGGAAGCCGCGTCCCGGGCCCGCGTGGGTTCCCCGGGCGCTCACGGAGCTGCACACGCGGGGCGGCCTCCAGGCCCGGGCAGGCCGGGGGGGGCGGCCAGGAGCCCCGCGGGCCGCCCAGCCCCCGGCCAGGCTTCACTCCGGGCTGCTCCGGCTTCTGCCCCCGGGTCTCTCCCGCCGCGCTCTGCCTGGGGGACCCGCAGTCCCGCGCCCGCGGCCGCAGAAGCAAACGCCGCCGTGGAGCCGGCGCAGCCCCTCGGGCAGGGCCCCCTGACGGGCGCGGGCAGGACAGCCCGACCCCCTTCACCCCGCGCCGCCGCCCCACACCAGGGGGACGGACTTGCACGCCCTGCGCCTGACGGGGGCTCCCCCGCAGGACGGCCCCGCGCCCGCAGCCGCGGCGAGGAAACGCGGGGCCCGCAGGGACGGCCCGGCGAGGGGAGCCCCGCAGCCCGCAGACGCGCCGGGAGCGGCGCGGACCCCGGAGACAGAGACCGTCACCCCCAGACCCCGCCAGGAGGGACCCCCGGGGCGCGCCACGCGAGCAGCAGGCGGGGCCCAAGGGAAGGCGGCGGAGGGGCTCCCGGGGGCCCGCGCTGAGCCCCGCGGACCCGCCCGCGCGCAGACAGGGCTGGACACGAGGACAGACACCGGGTCATCGGGAGGGGGCGCCCGAGTGCCCGGGAGTGAACCCCGCCAGCGGGGCCCCCAGCGGGGCCGCCTGCCTGCCTAGGGGAGCCGGGCACCCCCCCTTCCCTCTGGGCTCCCCCCTTCCCTCTGGGCTCGCCCCCCCTTCTGGGCCTGTCCCCCTTCCTTCTGGGCTCCCCCCCTTTGGGGTCGCCCCTTACCGTATTTTCTGCCTCTCCCGGCGCAGGGTCCTCTGCGCGCCGCTGCGCCCGCCCGTCACCCCCTTCTCCAGGCTCCGGCGCCCCCCCTGCCCCGCCCTGCGCCCGCTGCCGCCGTCAGGCCTGGGACGGGCCCCCGGGTCTGGCTTTCAGGCCGGCAGGGGACCCCGCGGCGCGGGATGGAGAGGCCGGGCTGTGTTTGTCTCCTCGGGGTGCGGGGGGGGGGGGGATAGGGAGGGGGCGGGCGGCCTCCGGCCCACGAGGAACCTCTTCTCGGGCCTCTCCGGCCTTCCCGCGGCCTCCTCCCCCGCCGCGGCCCGTGCCCCGCTGCCCCGCCCCCGCGGCTCCCACTCGCGCTGGTGGCTCCGCCCAGGCCCAGCTGCCCGCGCGGCCCACGCGCACCCCGGGCCTGCCCGCCGCGTCCCGCCCCGTGGCGGTTGAGGGAGGAGACGCCCGAACCGGGGAAATGATGGCGATGACACTCCGGGCGCTGTCGTCCCCGCTGTGGCGGCCTCTTGGCTCCGCCTTCCCTCTTCCTCTCGTGGAGACGCAGCAGCCCTTTGGCTCAGCCTCTCCGCGCGGCCCGGGGCTCCCCCCACGCCCCACGCCGGAGCTCCCGCCGGGCCTGAGCACGCCTCACCGGAATCCGGGACCTTCACCCCAAAACACTCCCTGTGGACAGAGGCCCGCGGGCTGGCGGCTGGCGGGGAGACCCCCACTGGGGCGGGGAGGGCGCCGGGGAGAGCGAGGAGGGGACATGCAGCTTTTAGGGTTCCGGGGGCGCCCGCAGGTCACCGCAGCAGGACTCGGATGCACGGGCAGCAGGACGCGTCCGGGGCCCAGGGCAACTCCAGAAACGCTGAAAGAGAAAGTGGGACAGAGACGCGGGTGGACGGCTCAAGGCTCACCAGTTAGATGGGTTATTAGAGATTGAAGTGCGAGATGGCAGGAGACATGGCCATCAACAGTTGCGTAATCCTGACGGCTTTCCCTGCGGAGGTCTGGATGAGGATTTCTCATTTTCCAACACCGCCCCAGGCGTCACTGTCCGTCTGTCTGTCAGGCGCCCGGCGCCCGCCTGTCCCTTTCCATTGACCCAGCCCGTTCCCTGCACGGCCCAGCGAATGACCTTCTGGTTCTCACTAGTAGGGGGTGGGGAGTCCCCAAGTGATGAACACAAGCCGGCACGTTTCATCTGAAAACTCCCTTTAGATTCTGTTTCTTCTTTGATCTGGCCGAGGACGGTCTCCCTTTGGCGACGGTGGCTTTTGCAAGTGAAGTGATCAGGCCTGTCTTGCAAACTTCCCTTATATGCTGTACCCCAGGCATTTCACACACATGCCCTTTCTTCCTTCTGAAAAAAATATAACTATCTCAGCACATGTTAAAAAAACCTCAAGGCAACCAAAGAGTGAGCAGCAGCCCCTCTGATTTAGTTGATGTCTGTGTTCATCCCCTTGGCGTGTTTAGGAAATACAAACAATGCCATTCCCTGATTCTCCGTTTCACAGGTGAACACACTGTGTTGATGAGGAAAGGCCGCATCCTGTTACTGTGAATGTCCGTGGCCTGTGTCCGTGGGCGTCTGTGGGCGCAAGAGACGAACATTCTTGACCCCACTGTGGTCTCCCCAACTTGTTCCCTGTTTTCTCCGTTACAGGACAAGCCACGAACAAAAGGCACTTGCGGCCCATCTAAGTGGCGGCGCCGGCGTCCAGAAACCCTGAGCTGTTCCTCAGCCCCTCCGGGAAAGCATCTGCCTTCGTCTTCGGGCCTCGGAGGGGAGCAGACAACGTTCATGCCCCTCAAGCCCGTCTTCCTTTCTGTCTCCCCCTGTGATGCCTGGGAAAGGATGATCCCTGTCACGGCCACATTTCAGTCGTGTCCACACCGCAGTCTACTGGACCCCGCCCTGGGGTGTTCATCCGGGTTGTTCCCAGCCGCGCGCTGCTGTGAGAAGGGGCGGGCGAGGCTTCCACACACCAGCTTCCCTGCGTGTCTCGGCGCGTTTCCTCGGGTCACTTCCCCAAACCAGAACCGCTGTTTCTACTAAAGTGCAATAAAAATGTTTTAAATTCTGAAGGGCGGGGTGACGCGTCTTCTCAGGAACGGAGACGGGACGTGTTTCACCTCGTCCTCGCCCGCGTTTCCTTCCCCCGCCCGTCTCCAGGCTTTGGCCCCAAACTCCCCCCCCACCCCTGCGCCGCGCCTCCTCCAGGCCGGGGCCCGACCGGCCCGTCTGCAGGGGCCTGACGGCCTCATCCCCGCGGGCCCTGTTACTACTTCTCCACGCGGGCGCCCCGCTCCGTCCCTGCCCACCCCTTCGGCCCCCTCCCCCGACCCCCATTCCCTCCCTTCTGCTCCCACCCCTCCCCTCCCCAAGTCAGCGCGGGCTCCGCCATCCTGGGCCCTTCCCTGTCCCGGCGCTTTGGCGCGTTGCTCCTACTCGCCACGAGGCGGCGCCCTCCGTCGTTGCTCGGCACTTCCGCCCTGGAGGCGCTGCCCGTTCCCCTTCGCGCCTGTCACTCCCCGCGTTTCCCTCACCAGCGGCCCCGCCCGTCACTACTACGTGCTCCGCCCCTTTCCCTCCGCCTCGGCCCCGCCCTTTACCACGCCCATCGGCAGTCATTGCTATCCCGCATTCTTCCTGCACTACCTCTCCAGCCCACAAGACGGCGCACTCCGCTTCTGCCGGCCTTGTTTTGCCACAAGAGCCTCTCCTTCCTCCCTCCACTTCCGTTGTCAGACGGCTCCGCAGGTCGCGATTTTCCCACGTTACCACCCCAGTCCACAAGACGGCGCTCTTCGATCCACCCGCCCTTGCTTTGGGCAAGGAGCCTCTCCTTCCTCCCACCGCACTGGTGTCGCGGGGCCTTATGGGGCGGGGGGGGGGGCCAGCTAACACGGAAGTGGAAGGAGGAAGGAGAGGCTCCAGGGGCAAAAGGAGGTGCGTATAAATGGAGAGCGCCGTCTTGTGGAGCGGGGTGGTAACGTGGGAAAGAAACTCAAGCGGCAGGAGGAAGGAGAGGCTCCTGCGGTAAAACAGCGTAGGTAGAAACGGAGAGCGCCGTCTTGTGGGCGGGAGCGGTACTGCAGGAATAATGAAGGCCGAGCCCCTGGATGCAGTGACACGCGGGGCGCGAGGCACAGGGAGGCGAGGGAGGGAGAGGAGCCGTGCGCAGAATAATGAGGGCGGGGCTGCTCGTGAATGAAACGCGGAGAGTGACTGAGGCCCGACAGGGAAGGGAAAGCGCCATGAAGGTGACAGCACAGAAAGACGGCAGAGGGCGCCGCCTGGCGGCGAGGAGCCAGTTCAAGGCGGGCCAGGGGAGGCGCGCAGACGGGAGGGAGGGAGCAGAGGCCGGTGTCAGCGCCTTTCAGAGGCAGCAGGGGGAGGGAGAGTCGGTGAGGAAGGGCTGGGAAGTGTGCGCCTGTCCCCTCCTTCACACATCCATTCTGCAGAGAATTTTGAATTTAACATATTTTTATTTTAAATAGAAATAGGCATTCTGTATTTTGGAAATGACCTAGGAAATGCTTTGAAAAACAGATAAAAATACATGTAAAAATGTTGCATGTAAAAATGTTCACCAGCACTTTCTTTACAGTAATAAATGATTGGAAAAAATCTAAACGAAAGCTCCAAGGAATGGTTAATTACAGCATATGCATAAATGAAATGTAGCAATCAGCTACAATACTTACTAAGTTTTTTAATGTCGCAGGAGAATACTTACAATGTTAAATGATGAAAGTAGAATATAAAACCCCGGAGACATTTATAATTCCATCATAGAAGAAAAAAATGGAACAATCCTTATGTGTGTGAAGACTAGAACGGAAAAATTATTACTTTGCATCAGGTGGAATATTATAAGCAATGAAATTAGGCTCTAGCTGCATCCTATATGGGTTAATCTTGCCTACATATTGTTGAAAGTGCCAAGCTAAGAAAATAAACATAATGTGATTTACTTTAATGTTAAATACTAGACAAAATTAAAATCGTTTTAATTATACATTTCATGATACATTCTTAGGTGATATAATTTAGATGAAGGAGGAAGAAGATAATGAAAGAAGAAGAGTATGATGTGTTGTGATTTTATATTTCTTGACCTGGTCAGCTGCAGGGAGTTCAATTTGTAATTCTCAAACTCTGCATCATTACTACCCGTCCTTACACACAATGAACAATATTGGAAAATACCAGGAAGCGAGTAAGCTAACTCATAACAGTATGCATGTTTTGATGGAAAAATCATAGTTGACAATATTGTTCATTATATTACTTTTCAAAATTTCTATAATGTGCACACTCCCTTTTATTATTAGAACCAGTAAACTGAAGCTAATGAAAAAACATCATTGCTGAAATTGCCTCCCTGCTCCGTGGCAGGAGAGCAGTAACTGGTAATTTTTTTTTTAAGTCTTCAGAATTCCAATGTGGTTATAGAAAAACATTTCAGGGTGGAAATATGGGTTCCTGCTGGTCAAGCAGGCGCGGGCAGAGCAGCAGCATTTGGAGTGTTAATGCCAAGGTCACCTCGTTGATTTTAGTGATGGGGTTTGGGCTTCTAGCCTGAACCATGCTCCTGCTAGTTTTCAAATCCAAGTAACACATTTTACCTACTTTGTTCATTTTTAAATTTAGAAAATTATTCTGTTTAATACATGGCTTTGGGTAGCTGGAGTTTAAAAAAACACAAACAACAGTGAAATAAGACAGGAGTTCAAAGTCTGGGCCCTTTCAAGCTTTCCAAATGCAAGAGCTCTGTAAGTCGCATATACCTATGGGGAGAAGACAAAATTAAGAATGGAGCCATGACATTTCATCAAACATAATTTTATATAACTGAAAGAAACTTCCTGGGGGTAGTGAATTTTCTTCACAAAAAGAAAAAGCAAAGAATGGAACACAATGAAGTTCCTGTGTCCAAATTAACTTGTCCCACATCAGTCTAACTCCAGTGTTCTGGCAAATGCTTGCTTTCATTTTCATCTCATCCCAGAGCTCAAATCCTGACTCATTTCAGCAGAGACTCCACAGGCAACAGGAAAGACTGTGACATTACAACACTCCCTGACACACTTTTGTGGTATTTCCACATGAGTCTTATTCTGGGCAGGCCTGCACACCATACAGGTCAGAAGCACCATAACCCTAAGACACTGTTTGCTAAGATTCAAATAGGAAAAAGGAAGACTCCTGATGTACAGCTGATGGGATGTGGGGGCATGAGAAGAGGATGGTGTCAGGCAGGGCTACCTAGAAAGCAGCTAATCTGAGGACTTACCCTTGAGGACTTATCCTTAGCCTAAAATAGAAGTTGGGGGGGGGGACGCAGAGAAAAGAGAGTGAGCAGGTAAGAGAGGCCGGGGGCCTTGGGAAAGTGGGGCAGACAGCAAGAGTCTCAAACTGCATTCAGAGGCTTGGACATAGAGACAGCGGGAACCAATGATGGACTTTAAGGCCTTGAATAAGGATGTGACATGTAGGTTTGCCTTTTGTAAGGGGCAGTGAGGCCAGAGTGAGGCTGCAGATGGCCCTCGGGACCATTTGGTTCTTTCCTTTTCTCTCCCCAGCTCTGCACAGACAGCAGAGCGTGCTGAAGACGTGAAGTCAGCCCACCCAAACTGTAATAATATGCTGTTGCTCTCCTGTTAGCAAAGTCAGACAAAAGTGGAGTTTCAGAAAGCGCAGTCCCCTGGAAAAATGGATGAAAAAGGCCCTGAGGTTTTCAACAGCGGGTGGCCAACTTTCAAGACTTGTGTATTTTAAGTGACACACGTGACCAGAGAGACGGGGCTGAGATGGGGTGCTACGTATTACCGATGTCACATTTTCCAGTTTCATGTAAAATTTCCTCACTTCATTCCCATATTTGATTACTTTATGAACCACACCGATACTCTACTGGAATTCAAAAGCAGTGTAAGTGCAACACATCATCTGGGTGTCACTACAAAGCAGCTGACAAAGAACAATCCTACTAGAGTTCCATCCAAGGCAAGGTGGGAGAATTTCATAGTATTATAATAACTTGTCATCTATTATGTAAGAAAACACCTTTCATCACTGAAATATTCTGTCTTCATCTCCTGCAAACAGACCTATTGTGTCCTTAAAAAACAAAAAACAAAAAACACCTAGTTTTTTTTAATCCTGATTTTAAAATGTTCCATAATTGGGAAAAGGGAACACATCTAGATGATACTCACTATTTACATGCAATTTACTTTAATTCATTTCAATTTGGGGATAAAATTTTTTTTGGCAGATCAAAATGAGAAAATTATATATGCATGGGACTTATGATTTGGGAATGACCCATAAATAAAATGATTTTTAAATGCAATTACAAATCTTGATTAACATGGATTCTTTTTTCATTGTTATGTCACAATAAAAGTTAAGTAAGTCTTATTTACCTGAGCATCTTGTTCAACTTGAGCTTTGTCCACGTCATCATCAGGGTCTCTATTAGCCTAAAATAGAAAATGTGTCAGTGTACTGAACATCAGGAGCATTTTCATCCAAAAGGAGAAATGGCTCCATCTAAAGGTACATAAAGCTTTTCCTCTTAGGAAGAACATGTTTTTATAAAGATCGTAACAATTCTGCAAGATTTCACTTTATCAAACATCACTGTGCAAATCCAATATGACCCAGTTGATTTGAAATTCAAATATAATATTAAAAAAAAGCACCTCTGAGTTAGCCATTAAAAGTTTAGGTCAGATGTTCCAAAACAACCAAATTCAGACAGCACATGGCCAGGATCCAGCAAGTATCAGAAATGGTTAAAAGAGGCAGCACTCCTTCTGCCCACTGTGGCTATGCAGGTGCTTCCCTTCACCAACTCTCTCCCTCTGCAGGGCAGCAGCCGTCTGCCTTGCTGTGACCTGCACCTTCCGGGGCTTCTCTTCACTGACCTCCCTCAGCGGAGGCCTAGCTCCTCAAGGCCGCCCGCCTGCAACCATGCAGGCCTCTCCCAGCAAACCTGTCCCTTTGGGGCAGCTCTTCCTGCCCGCTCGTGTCTATGCAAGTGTAGTGTCTTTTACTCTTCTGTCTCTTTTCTAATAAACCTGCCCTTTAAATATTAAAAAAAAAAGAAATGGTTAAAAGAATTTTAAGTGAATTTACCTAACCATATTCAGGCCAGTCAGGCTTCAGATTTTTTAAAAAGTCATTTTAATTACTTTCTAGTGTCCTTGGGTTGCGTCCTCAAGTGTCCCCACCACATCACCTTCCAGGCTTGAGCCATAATCTACAATGGAATAATTTCCAACTTATTTACAATTTCTCTTCAACTAGGAAAAAAAATATCCTTCCCCATTAATCAAATGGGAATGATATAAATGAGGAAATGCTTGATTCACATAGATGTTCTCAACGCTCCCCGAGTGCTCTAAATGCTTTCCCTGAGTGGCTAACAGAGACCAAATCATCTGCTAAATGGCTGGTCATGATTTAGACTAGAACCAAATGCTTTCTGCTCATGTTGTGTCCTGGAAAGGAGAAGGGGAGCAAGAGCAGCACAGAAGGAGGAAATTACCCTCCTATAGCTCCTTATACACAGATCTGAGGCCACACGTGCAGCAGAAGTGACAGACTACAGAATTTTCCTATCAAGGAAATCATGTTATTTTAATTTGTGAACCAATGATTCTATTTGCAAATGATACACTTTAGATTTCTTAAACAACACCATGGGGACGAACGTGATAGCAACTAAATGAGAGGGATGCTGCTGAGGCTTTTGGCTCTTTGATAGTTTTTGTTTCTTTTCTGGAGGAATAAAGGCAAGTGTAAAATGCCTGTGCTCTCTGGTGTAAAGGAAACTTACATGCCTGAGGCCTGGTCATTTCTACTTGCAAAAGCCAATGTCTCCAAAGGTGACAGCCTTCATTTTCCAAATCCAAGACAAAACAGTGAACCTAAAGAGAGATTTTTCAGATTAAACATGATGTTTTACGCACATCGCTCGGTAACTCTCTCCCTCACCTTTACTAGTGATAACTAGAAAATTCACTGGGCAGTGGAGGGAATGGGCAGAGAAGCCCGGAGCCAAGGGAACAGGCTGACGTCAATGGAAAGGGACACGTGGGCACCGGGCGCCTGAAGGACAAACGGACATTGACGCCTGGGGTGGTGTTGGCAAAAATGAGCAAATCTGAGTCCAGACCTAAGCATGGGAAGACGTCAGGATTATACAAATTCTCCCACGTCCTATAATCTCTAACTATAATCTCTAATCATACATTTAAATAATATCATTAACAGTCTTCCAGGCATCTCTGTCCTACTTTCTCATTCCCAGAGTTTTCTAGGTTGCCCTGGGCCACGAATGCCGTCCTGCTTGCCTGCGCATCCATGTCCTGCTGTGGTGACCTGCGGGCGCATCCAGGGAACCCTAAAAGTTGCATTTCCCCTCCTCGCTCTTTCCAGCGCCCTCCCCATCCCAATGGGGTTCTCAGACATCAGGGCCTCACCAGCCTGCAGGCCTCTGTCCCACAGGAATATTTTCAAGAAGTGAAGATCCCTGATTCATGGTGAGAAGTTTTGAGGCCATGTAGGAATTCTGGCGTCAGAGAATGGGGTGACCGCCCCGGGACACAAGGAAAAGGTGATCTAAAGGGCTGACTCTGATTTCACATGAAGAAAAGGGAAAGTGGAAGCCAAGTGGTCGCCACAACGGGGACGAGAGGACCCAGGGCTGAAGCACCAGAGAGGAGGCACCGCGCTCTGGTGTGGAGGCAGGACCAGCCCTGGCTCACAGGGAAGGGGGAGCATCACCTCCTCCAAAGGACACTGGCTCTTGTTTCAGCTTTGCAGTCTCTTTTACACTGACAAATGACAAAATCACGGCACCAGTAAGATAAAATTCCCATGGTACCAAAAAAAAAAAAAAAAAAAAAAAAAAAAAAGCCAACACACCCGGAGGGAAGTGACGAAGAGGGATGATGGCCTGGGAGCTGGAGCGGGGCTGGGAAGGAAGGAATGGAAGAGACAGCCTCATGCCCGGGGCTCCCAATAAGCAAAAGCACAGTACGGCTTGAAAGCAAATGAACCTTCCAGCCCAATCAGCATTCTCTACAAGGACATGATTGATACATTTAGCACACAACGGGGGTCACACAGATTTCATGACATCGTGTAGTGTCTGGGAAATCACTTAGAAAACGGGGTGAGCATCACAATGGTGGAAACTGGCAAAGAGACCATCATAAAAACAAAGAGTAGATGGAGCCTGAGCTCGTCACAGGGTCTCCATCAGGATCCCCCCAATTCTGCATTACTCATCTGCATTGAACACGAACACCCCCCGGCATGCAGATGGTTGGTACCAGCTGTGAGGTGGCGTCAGGCCAGGAAAGTGGTAGAACAGTTGTGTCTAGAGAGGGCAGAAACAAGACAACTTAAGGATGCAAGTCAGGAAAGCAGCACGAAGCACTAAAACAAAAATTAAGCACAAGAAATGAAAGCGAGATGATGGAACTCAAGGCAACAGTTCTGCAGGGAGGGAGGAGTAACAGACACTGATGTGGGCTGCTAGGCCATGGCCCAGCCTCAGGACAGAAACAGACCCTGGTTAGCCAGAACACAAGCCAGGGACCTTTCAACGGAAGATGGGGGTCACTTGTCCTGCTTTTAAAGAAATCGGGGTAGCCCCCCCCTCCTTCCCACCCTGCAGACACCTGTCCTGGGTGTGCAGACAGCTTCATCTCCCAGTTGTCATGAGTGTGTGCTGCTAATACAGCCTGCGATCCTGCTTTTCATGATGTGCACAGTGTGCGGGGAACGGTGAGCAAGAAGGACGAGGCAGTGAGGGGCAAGTGTGGGTCAGGTGGGTGAGAACTGAGCCTTCTGTGATCTTTCTCAGCATCAGAAACCCCAGGAAATCCTTTGAAAATGGTCAACAATCAAGATACGCCCACAGGGGACAGACTGAGGTCACCCTGATCCCAAAGGAGCTTTTGTAAGGCAGAGACCTTACCTGAAAAGGAGGGGAAGCAATTGCTAAAGACAGGAAAACACTGAAAAGTGGAGCTGAATGAAGGAGGTAAGGGATAAATGAGGGCATTTAAAAGGCTAAGGGACCAGAACCTTCTGACAGTGAGAAACTCTCTCTCGCTCTCTCGCTCTCTCGCTCTCTCTCTCTCTGTGTGTGTGTGTAACGCATCGGCCAAGTGGGAGAGGAAGAAACTGGCCATCTGGGACACTGACCCAGCCTGAGGAACTGCCCATAGCACAGCCCCCGGAGGGCCTCACCAGTGGCAGTGAAGCTCGGTGGGGGACGAACCCTCACGCCCGTGGAGCCTCCCTCAAGGTCTCCCAGATCTAGAGGTGGAGGCGGAGGTCCTGGGACCTCCAGGTGCTCCTGAGTTACCGGATCCAAATAAAACAGCGCTTGAGTCCATGACCTGGTCTAAGGTCACCTCTGTTGCCTTGACCATCTAAATTTTGAAAGTAACCCCTCAATCTTCCAATATTACCCTGGCAGGAATGAGAAGCATCCCTGTAAGTGAGGCTTAATCTCCTCACCTCTGCCTCCCAGATGAGGCAGATCCTTGATCCTGTTCAGTCATTCATCTGTTAATATCGCACGTGAAGTGCTAACTGAACAGCCCTGCCCTCAGACAGTGATACTTGATTCAGCCGAACCGTCAGGTAGCCACTCAGCAACCTGAGCTGGGGGAGGGGCCGTGTTCCCAGGTCCCACTTAGTGAGGGGCGGCTGCGTGGCCAGGTGACACTGTGACATGGAAGGCAGAGGGTTCAAGAGAGACACTTGCAAAAGAAGTGCTTGCTTCTTGGCTTTGGACTTGTACCTCGGCCTTGAGGGACTAAAGAAGACAAGTGGAGAGACAGAAACATTTGAAAGAGACTTGTGGGTGGGAGACAGGCAGGGAGGTTGAGGATGGCAGCCATTATCTTGATTTGTAGATTTTGCTACTTTCATCTGAGACTTGCCTGGCTCCATTTGCCCACCCCCATATCTGTGACTCCCCATCATAGGGTATCTTAGACTGTAGCAAGCTTTTGGGCCCCTGCGGCCCTGCTCTGGGTGAGCTCTGTTTGGCTGGACATGATTTACCCATGAGTGGATTTAACTATTCTACTTTCTTCTCTTCTCTCTCAATGCACACTAATTCTATTAAAGTGATTTTACACCAAGGGTCCTTTTGTCTTTTTTTTTTCTTTTAAATTTTTGCATAGAAGAACTGGGGTATAGTCAGAGGTACAGGAGGTGAGAGGATTCACCAGATCCAGAGTGGGGAGACAGCAGGCAGATTTACTGAAATCCACTGCTATGGGAAACAGCAGGTGAGACAGGAGACGTCTGCTGTGCCGTATATGGGTTAGCTCCCTGGCCAGGGATCGAACTCAGGCCGTAGTGGTGATAGCACTGTGACTTAACCCCTAGGCCACCAGGGAGGCCCCATCTTTGTGTACACAGATGGCTGAACCCTGTTAGATAATGTAAGTTTGAAAGCCCCCGGGGCTACTCCTGGACATATATTCTGTACTCAACCTAGAAACCTATTCTGCTAACAGAAGCCATCAGATTATTATAACAGTGCAGGGAGTACTTTCGAACAAATGAGATTCATAAATTAAAAGCATGATAACCACTGAAATTAAAACACTGGTGTCCATGGGATAAACAAATACAAAATCTAATGTGGCACAGAGACAATGTCATACTCACTCTTAAACAAGGAAGGAAATTCTGATACTTGCTAAAACTTGTAGAAAACTTAGTCACTATAGTAAGAGCAATAAATTACCTAGATACAAAAGGACAAATTAGATACTCACTTAGGTATGTATCCATAGTAGTCAAATTCAGAAATAGAACTTAGAATGTTCTGTCTCCAGGAGACTGGTCTCGCAAATCAGTCTTCCCAGGGATGGAGCTTTGGGTGGTTTTATGGGGTTGAAGAACAAATATATGAAAAGCCAGGGGATGAGGGGAAAGAGTTAGTGTTTAATGGGTAGTGTTTCGGGGGGGGGAATGAAAAGGCTCTGGAGAGTGGACATGCCCAGCTCACCTCCTCCTCATACTTATAACCAAATTACCCCTAAACCAAGGCAGCAGCCTGTGTGCCCACTGAGAGGCCTGGGTCAGGAGGATGTGGACTGTTCATGCAATGGGACACTATTCAGCCACGTGGAGAGACAGAATACCACCAGTGACAACAAAATGGAAGGAATTTTGGGGCTCTATAGTAAAGCCAATCAGAATGACAGAGAGATGTTGGCTGTTTATGTAGTAGGTGAGAATACAAAGTAAAATACTCATAAAAACTACTGACCTCAGAAACAAGAGAGGTTTCTGAGGTTAAGAGGGAAGGGGTAGAGAGAAAAGGCCAAAGGGAAAAATGTCAGGTACTGGGCCTCCCCTGGTGGCACAGGCAGTTGAGCGCAGTGCTGTGAAGCTGTCCACAGCCTCCACAGCCTCTGCAGCACTGGTTCGATCCTAGCCGGCCGGTAAGGGTCCCACATGGTGTGACAGACCTCTCCATCACGCCGGGCTGCTCCCCTCAGCAGTGTATTTCATCAGTCTGCCTGTTCTGCTCCCCACTCTGGCTCTGGTGAATCCTCTCACCCTCCCGTGCTTCTGACTGTACCCCAGTTCTTGTATAAATAAAAAAATAAATCTTTAAAAAAAATGTCAGGCACTAATAGGTATGAGGAAGAAAAGTTCTGGAAAATAGATTGTGGTCACAGAGATGCTATTGTAGATTGTGATCTCTGAGGAGGGAGTTATTTGACAATGACCCAAATGAAATGCTACCATGGGCACTTCAAACAGAGAGAGCCTCAAGGGCAAAAGCCCTAACATTGAAAATGTGTCTTATTTTTGTAATGTCAATAGAACCAATGGGGGAAGGGGAAACGTTAAGAAATCAAAGCTGAAATATTGGTTTGTTTTCATCATGGTTGCATTGTAGTTCACCATAAAGATGATAATTTCATTTTTTTCTTTGGTTTAATACCACCCAAGAACTCAGCTCCATATCTGAGGAAGCAAACTCTTCAGCGCCCATGCAGGTAAATGAATGATGGAGGTGAAAAAAAAAAAAAAGGATGAACATGAAAACCTAAGTGAAGGGTTAATTAGTGTTAAAAAGAAAAGACCACCCAGATTGTATGTCCTGCGTGCACATTAAATCCAGCAAGGCTGTGAAAATGAGCAGAAACAGCTTCCAAAAAGAGAAGATCAGAAAGGAATAAGATGTTTTCACGAAGTTGAGGCAGGTGGTCAAAACTGAAATGGGCCTTTGGACTGGATTGTAACATGGGAACCATGATGATAACTCCTTGGAGGCTATGTGGTGGGTCCCTAGAATACTTTGGTTAAATACAAAATGGAAAACTATGATGGAAACACCACAGAATGTTTCATGTTAAGTCAAATACATGGTAAAGTTGGAATGTGAGTATAAGACAAGGGTATCTGTACTGTTATTAAAGTTTTCTGTGCTTTAAATAAAGCCACACTTATACGGACAACTAATCTTTGACAAAGGAGCAAAGAATATGCAATGGAACATGGACAGTTTGATCAATAAATGGTGCTGGGAAAACTGGATTGCCACGTGCAAAAAAATGAAACTAGACCACTACCTCTCACCATGCACAAAAATCAACTCAAAATGGATAAAAGAACTGGACATAAGACCTGAAGCCATAAAATATATAGAAGAAAATATAGGTAAAACACTACAAGACACACATCTCAGTAACACTTTCAAGACTCATCATCCAAAGCAAAGAAAGTCAAGGAAAAGATAAACACCTGGGATGACATCTGAAAAGCTTCTGCACAGCAAAAGAGACATTAACCAAAACTGATTGGAAAAAAATCTTGGCACTCCATAGAATTGACAAGGGACAGATAGCAAAGATCTACAAAGAACTCACACAACTCAATAAAAATAAACAATCCAGTCAAGAAATGGGCAGAAGAACTTGAAACAACCCAAATGCCCTAAAATAGATGATTGGATCAAGAAGATGTGGTATATATACACAACGGAATACTATTCAGCCATCAAAAAAGATGAACCATGCCATTCGCAGCAACATGGATGGAGCAAGAAGGAATTATGCTCAGTGAAATAAGTCAGAAGGTAAAAGGAAACCATTGGATGGTTTTACTTATAGGAGTGTTACAGGGCAGGGAGCGAGGCACCCGAGACCCTGCAAACCTGCCTGCTCTCAATAGGTTCTGCCATTCACCGCATAAACACAAAACATATGAGACTTTAATGGGAAGGAACTTTCATAAAATTAAGAAACAATACAGGAAAGGCAAAGAATCTAGTTTCTAAATCAAGCACCCAAAGTGACCCATCCCCTCGTGGGTAAAAGTCCACCCAAATGGGATTGGCCCAGAGCAAGGCCTCAAAGCCTGCCACAAGTCTAAAGCACCTTCCAGTGGGGACCCACAGAAAAGGGTCAGAAACAACCAGACAAGCCCGGAAGGAAAAGAGCAAAATCAAAATCAAGATAAAAGCTGCCATTGTCACCTCCCCACGGGTCTCACCCACATCTGTGTCACCCAGTCCACGACGAAAAGGTAAGCGCAATTTCTTCACATGTCTCTCGGCCTCATGTGCCTCCTTTAAGTCTCCTTCTGGATCTCCATCCTGCTTCCTTCCTTCCTCAGTCTCCTCTACAGCTTCTTCTCTCTTTGCTCAGCTCCACCCTCCATTTGGGTGGGGCAGGAACCTGGAACCTCCACCTTTCCTGGGAACCACCCTGTCACAGGAGGAATATAGGGGAATCAAATAAGACATCAGTGTAAGAAAATAGTAACAATACAAAACGCAGCACAACAAAACAGACAGTTATAAACCAGAGACATCCTGTAGGGCAGGAGGAGGGAGAGGGATCAGAGGGAGGGAGGGAGGAGCACAGGGGAATGAAGTGATGGTGCACAGGTGTATTGGTGAAGGAAATTCCACGGGGACTACACCTGAGGGTTTGTGGTGGGAAGCAAGTATTGTTTAAAAATGAACAGTGATGTAAAAAATAAAAAAAAGTGAAAAAAAATGTTTTCTGTGCTTTTGAAGTAAAGTAAATTACTTTTCAATGCCTCTCCAGAAAAACAAAGCAGGCAGTGAAATGCATTGTGGAGCACAAGCTCTGATCAGATCCAAACCATCCCGTGTTATGGAGTTAAGTTTCTTTTCAGATTACACAAGTTATTAAGAGGCACTGTGGGAAGATTTTATTAATAGATAGTATATCTTCAGTGTCGCAGATGACCCAGGATGTGGTAGAAAAAGTAGTTTTTAAATTCTAAATTTCTACAGAACATACACTCACACAAGGAAAAAAAAACATTAGAAGAAAGTGATACCAGAATTGTCGGGCCTAGTCTCCCAGCCGGGAACGGATCCCAGGCTGCAGGGCAGCGCTGAGCCCCAGCCACTAGACCCCCACGGGGTGGTGTCTCACGAAGCCGCAGCAGGGACTTCCCAGACGCTCAGGCAAGCAAGCGAGAAGAGGCAGGTTTGTTTAGAGAAAGAAAAAGTTTATTGAGGAGAAAAAGAACAGAAATAAAGTGGGACTCCCAGGCCAGGGAACCAGGCCTGGGAGGGGCAAGGAAGCCAAAGTGGAGTCGTGTCTCAGGGAATATAGACCTTCTTTCCCTCATTATTCTAAAGATCCACCAGCCTCTTTGTGATTGGTTTTCACTTAATTTGCTACTGAGTGGGGGATCTTCACATTCCTTATCTAGCAGGTCTGTCTTTCCCCATTTGTTGCATCTTTATCTTTATGGCCCAGTCCTCTGGATGGGCATCCCTGCATTGAAGTTAAACAGCTGCCCTTCTAAGTTGTCCATAAATTAAACCACTCTCCATTTCTCCAATCTCTGCCTCTCTTTACCACCTGAAGGAAACCAGGACCAGCGTTAACAATGTTGTCCTTGGTCCTGAGATGTTTGTTTTTCCAGGTGGAATTAGTTACACTCCTCTTGCTGCCCTTATTGCTGAAGCCTTCCTCAATTCTCCGAGGTCCCCTTCTGCAGTGTCCCTAAAACTGCCTAATTCCTAGCTTGCCCTGTGTCTCAAAAGGAATTCAATGAAGTTACAGAACACAAAATACCTGGGAAAACAATTAATGAAGCAGAAGAAAAACTATAAAATACTGCTGAAAGAAATTGAAAATATAAATAAATGGAATGATATTCTGTGCTCATGATTGAAATAATTAATATTACTGAAAGATGCAGACTTCCCAAAGTAAACCATAGAGACAGTGCAACCCTGATCAAAATTCCAATGGCCTTTTTCACATTAACAGGACTAACCATCCTGAAATTATTAGCAGCTGGGTGAGGGCCACCCCAGGGTCCCCATAAACCTGTACATTCTAAATAGATTCTGTTATCCACCACATCAAGACAAAACATACTCTAGTGCATAAGACCTTGGGTGGAAAGGAAACTTTAATAAAATTAGTGTGTAACAATTTGTGTGCAATAAAGAGAAAGAATATAGTTAAAATAGCTTCCAGATGAAACACCCAGAGTTACCCATCCCCCTGTGGGTAAATACCCAGCACATTGGTCCAAAGCAGGGCCACTGAGGCCCGGAAGCTTGCCCCAAGTCTAAGGTCCCCTCTGAGGAAGGTCCGCAGGAAAGGGGCAGAAGGGGCCAGGCAAGTCTGGAAGGAAAGGAGCAAAATCAAAATCCAGATTAAGAGAGAGGCTGCCATTGTCAGCCTCCCCAGGAAAGGGAACTGCTAAGCAAATGAAATCTTTCCTGTTTCCTAAAGAGCCACAGGCCT